TGGTATCTTCTTTTGGCCTTGGTCCCATTTATTTGGGGTCGGGCCGTCTGGTCAGTCTTCGCCAGAATGTTCTGTCCTGGGTCTGGGATGTTATTTCGGCGCTTTTTGAATCTCTCTCAATAACAGACATCCATGTGAGACGGGGTCTGCCGCATCTTCTGGTAACTAACTTCTAACTTGTTTTTATATGCTCTAATAAATTATATTCTATCTACATGGCAGATATCTTATTCTAATCTACCTGTTACCCGCGACTTCGACCGCGTAAATTGTAACTTTTTTTTTATGTAATTTAAATAAATTCTCTAAAATAAAACAAGCCTAAGTTACTTCTCACAATATTAGCTATCTGCGTGTGAAAGTCCTTTTAAAATCGATCGACCTAAGTTACTTCTCACAATATTATCTGCGTGTGAAAGTTCTTTTAAAATCGATCGAGTCGTTACAGAGTAAGTTCAAAGAGACTAACATTTTTTTTTATATTACTATTTTGATGTACCTACCGTAGATTAGTTAGAAGCTGTTAATTTTAAATTACTATAAACACTATAACTTTATTTATTCGTACAGTAGATGTGTTAATAGGATAATGGTTTTCGTAGTAGTGACTTCCAAACGTGTTCCGAATACTGTAAACTGATGTAAGCTTCCGTTCCCTTATCAGATATAGACGTACAGAATAGATACAGTGAAGTAAAGTTGAGAAATCTCGTAAAATATGCAATGTATTGAATGTTGCGCAGTGCGGCACTGCGATACAGTCCCATGCTGCGGTGGCGGCGAGTAAATTTAACGCCGTTGTGACTTTGTCAAAGTAAACAGCGGTGCGTGGTTACCCAAGATTCAGTTTGTACGTAGATGTGTTTGCGGTATGGCTTTCCTCGCTTTCAAGCACTCATCCGCGCTCTGGGGTTGAGTAATTTGAAATTGTTTGTATTCTACCTTCATTTGATGAATTAAATAATATAACGAGAGCTGGAGCTATTTTTTTTTATAGTTTCACTAGCTAACCTCGTTATAGAATAGCGATTGGTGATAGACGGGTGAAATTTAAAGGTTATATAAGTAATTTTAATGCCACATTATAAAAATATAAAAAAAATGGCTTAACAAAAAAAAAGTTAGGGGTGGACAACCCTTATTACTTATAGGGGTATAAAAAATTGATAGTTACCGATTCTCAGACCTACTGAATATGTATATAAAATTTCATAAAAATCGGTCAACCTATTTAGGAAAAGTATGTTACCATCTAACAGTTCTTCTCATCTCGAAATAATACCGAACTGACGGTAGATTTGACATATCATAACAGTCTGTAATAGATCTACATGAATAGAGATAATTTGAATTTTGAACTTGTGAGAATTTTAAGCTTTGGACGAACACACTATCAGCATAGTAATAAACAAGAGTCAATACCCTAAACTTGGGGTTCAAATCCAATTTCCTGGACAAAGTAACAGTTAAATTTATACCAGGTTTAGCATCTCGGCCAATAACCCTGGTTGTATCGGTTAATATCTCCGATCAGACCAGGTGGCTGTAAACATTCCGTTTCGGAAATATAACATTTATTGTTGCTATAAAACTGAATAAGTTCATGCAACATGTATATCTAGACTTTAGATAACTATCTAGGTTTTGTTAGATTTATTGCCAAAAACCTTATCTTGATAGTACTTTGAATAGCATTTCAATATTTTCAACAATTCCTCATCATTATAATCATTATTATTGTCCGTTACTGTCCGTCCCTATGTTTGCTTAAATATTTAAAACTGCGCAACAGATTTTGAAGCAGTTTTAATAGATAGAGTGATTCTAGATGAAGATTTATATGTATAATACATGTACATCCGAGGTACTAGTTACATAGTATAAAACAAAGTCGCTGTCGCTGTCTGTCCGTCCGTCGGATTTTGAAGCGGTTTTAGTAGATAGAGTGATTCCTATATATGCTCAACTCTTTAAAACTACGCAACGAAGACGATTTTGAAGCTGTTTTAATAGATAAAGTTATTCTAGAGGAAGGTTTATATATATAATATGGGTATACCCGTGCGCAGTCGGAGCGAGTAGCTAGTATAATTGCGCGATTTAATCGTAATAGTAAGCCAGTTGGAAGTGTTGTGTAAATTTCTCCTTAAAAAAAAATATAGAAATTTTACAAATTTTCTATTTAGTTTGAATAATGTAACTACTGTAAATATATATGTAATAAATATATAGTATGTAAATATAACCCAAATATATAGTATGTAAATGTAACCAGCACCGGCTTCTCACGGGTATACCCGTGAGAAGCCGGTGCCTATAATAGTTATGTAATAAATTAACTTTCAGGCTATCTTTTATTTCTTGTATTTTATTCAGTATCATACATATAAATTTATTATATTATGTATGTATACATAATATAATATATAAAGGTATGAATATATACATATATATATATATATTCATGTATCGTACATATAAACCTTTCTCTTGATTCACAAACAATTTGCAGCGCAGTCAGATGGCCTTCTTTTCACATGCGCGTACCGTTGCAGCATAAATTGTTGCAGTTTTAGGTTTACTACCTCATCTAGGATAACAATAGTAAATATAATCTATAGCGATGAAATAAAATAATAAGCGGTAGAATCAAAAAACTTGACTATTCAAAAGTGTTTATATAAATTCTATTCCTTTCTATTACTAAATATAGAAATGAACTGCCATTCGTCAAATTCATTCGCTAAACCGCAAAAAGGTATCTATATGAGTAAAAGACATACACGCGATCAAATACTTTTACAAACTACCACGTGAATATTAGTTATTCAACCGACTTCAAAGACGACTAAAATGTTATTTTATTTTTTATTTATTCAGCTATACATCTATGTATATTTTGTTGCGTAAGTTGTGAAATAGCTAATGTTATCAAGATAGCGGCGTATGAACAGTGTCTCAGAAAAAAAAGGACATTTTATTTTATACAGATATAAAAATTATTATAATATATTTTAATAATTAACAGTCCACTTCGTCGTTTTTTCTGTGTTAATGGAATGGTTCACCCGCCTGCTGTAACGGTATATGCTTACGAGGCACGATAAGATGCGAATGAGGTCAGTGTACAGGACTCACAGTGTACAGACTCACAGACAGACATCCGGGATGGCTGGTACGACAATTCCTTATTTTAAGTATTTATATTTTATATTGGTTGCTATAGAATAGAATAGAATAGAAAAGCATTTATTCAAGTAAATTAATTTAAGCACTTTTGAATAGTCATAACAATTTGTTTTTTATCTACCACTCGTTCGGAAAGCTGTCTCATCACAAGAAGAACAAGCAAGAAACTTGTGTGTTGCTCTTTTAAATAATCCTTGTAAGTTTACATTTACAAGTCGAAACGTGTGAATATAAACTACCAACCAGCACTCATTTTTTGGGTCAAATATAAATATACAATAAGATTAAATCAGTCGTAGTGATAAGAGTAGACCAGTCCCTACAAGCAGCACTCGTTCCCGAGTATGACGGATGAGCCAGCCAGCACTGCACTCGACCATATTTTAGGGAGCCCAATGACCCAACCCACCACGCCGTCACATGTCTGGACATTTTAGTGAGCATGACTACTCATTCCACTCGACCACGACACAGCTACAAAAATTACTCTATGGTAGTTACAGTATTCGCACTTTACATGAGGATGCATGCGGCAATCAATACAAAAGCCGCTACGCTATCATATATCAAGAAAGCAGTATGAAAAATAAATTATAACGTTGTCCGCAAATAAACTTATTCTTGCTATATATTGCTATCATCTATAAATTCATCTATCTATCTCATAATAGGCTATGGTTTTGTGATGATTCCTTCTATTGCTCTTGCTTTCATATAGTTTGTTACGACATATTTTTATAACATACTGTTATATACTGTTTTAAACTTGACGCGGTCATTATTTATACGTATAATTAGTAAAAATCACGGGATCTTACCACGTTTTATATTTATTTGCTGAGTTCCCGATATTTCAGTAGTGTTTCAACCACCATGATCACGGGTGAACTGAAGAGCAGCGGGTAGATGGAAAATAATATCTTTTTATGGGCATATGCGTCTACCTTCACACGTCTTCATTTGTTACTACTAATAAATATAAAACGTGGTAAGATCCCGTGATTTTTACTAATTTTACGTATAAGATACTGTTACTTTTACATATTGCGCCATTAATTACCATCATCGTTGGCTACACCGACCCCAGCGTCCTATACACAGTCCCACACAGTCAGGCCATGTGTGTTTCTACGTGCAGATCGACCTGTCATTATACATTGGTAGCAATGAGGTCCTGGTCCCTGTTACAAACAAAACCCTTTCGTTTCAGTAAGGACAGAGCTATCTATACGCAGACGCAGATGATTTTGTACAAAGTTTGGATTAATATTATAATAACCAAGTGGTTTAGTGGTCCAGTGGTTTCTTATCCGTCATACTCGTGAACGGGTGCTGCTTGTGGAGGCTGGTCTCTTCAGGTTCGAACACTGATTAGACTTTTTACCTGTGACTTTTTGGTCACTCTATTCTCCCAAAGTTGAATTTATAATGAATCTGTATTATTGTAAACACGTATAACATTTATCTGAAAAGGATGCGAGCTGAGTTTCATGTACGTTCTAATCTCGAAATTATACTGAACTGACGGTAGATTTGACATATCATAAGAGTCTGTAATAGAGCTACATGAACCTTATATACTTGTGGTTTTAACAGCTCGAAATCATTCTGATTCACGGTAAATTTGTTTATATCATAAGAGTCTGTAATAGATCTATATGAATAAAGATATTATGAATTTTGAATTTATATCCCGTGTTACACCTAGAAGGTCGAAACAATCCCTCCTCTACCTCTGGTGTAAAACAGGTTTATTTATATATACAAATGACGTGATCTAAAGGTTTATATATATCTATTTATGTTATCAGGTGGCGTGGATCCACATCGATCGTCAGATGATCCTGACGATCCACAGGCACGTGATCACGCGGCTGGCCAGGTTCAGCGTGTCGCACGACAACGCAATGACTTGGCTGCTCCACGTCAGCCAAGTGCAGCAAGAAGACCGCGGGTATTATATGTGCCAAGTGAACACCAATCCAATGATTAGCCAAGTTGGATATCTACAGGTTGTTGGTAAGTAGATTTTTGTAACGGTTTACTTTCGATGGTCGCGGGTTCGATTCTTAGTACGTTGTTTACTGTCTATAGCTGTAAGACAAACCTCGCATTTTATAAATATTAATAAAGTACAGCTATTACAATAAAGCATCAGTAAAATCATACTTACTAAGCAAAGTCTATTACTCACTAAACGATTACTTGAATGACGAGCGTGCATGGCAATAGTTGTTCATGCACGGGATTTTCATTTAATGTTAGACATAGACAACTATATAATTATATATTGTAAATAAACTTACTTAAAAAAAAGAAATTCATTTGAGTTTCTTGCCAGTTCTTCTCAATTGAATATACTAAACTGGAGGGTAGGTAAAAAAATATAATATAAAAAATTTGACGTTCATAAGCGGCCAAAATGTATAAATGATTTTTGATTTTGAATTAATTTCATTTAACGTCTACACATTACTGTACGTCAGGGACCTCTCTAATAACTAAATGTTAATTTAGTTGTTCAATTATAACCTAATCCATACATATAAATAAAATTGGAGTGTCTGTTTGTAACATTGAAATAGCCGTTTTTTACTACATGCACATGAATATAAATACGGTACATACACTAAAATAACATTTTTTTACAATTTTTGTCAGTCTGCCTGTCGGTCCGTTTATTCCGGCTAATCTCTGAATTGGCCGGATCGATTTTGACGGGACTTTTATTGGAAAGTAGCTGTAGTAAAGTAAAAAGTAGTAATAATGAGTAACTAAGGCTACCTTTATTTTAGAAAAATAAAGTTAAATTGTTTTGTTCCCTGAACAATGTTCCACGCTGAGCTTCGACCTTTTTGTATTGCTACAGATCACACATAAAACACAATTTTATAAATCTTATGTTGTATTATGTATTTTTATATTTTTATGAACATGTTATGTGTGTGACTAGTAACAAACAAATAAACGATATATCTATCTATCTATCTATAAATTCCACGCGAACGAAGTCGCTGGAACAGCTAGCTGTTAATATAAATTAATATTTCATGAACCCTTTGAAGGTTATTCTCGGTGTGAATTAATAAAAATACGTCAGGACTTACTTTCAAATGAGAATATTGGTAATGAACTCCATGTTGTTTCAATTCGTTGCCAAAGAAAAACTTTTAATTATATCCTTTCAATAATTGAAAGGTACTAAACTTCCTTTATTGTGTTTCTTGACGGATATTTTTTTTTTTTATATACCACTTAGGTGCGAGGTGCTAGGTGGTTCAGGTTGCGAACACTGATTAGATTTTTTGATTTTTTTAATTTTTTTTGTATATAGCATATGCTGGTGGTCACTCTATTCTCCCAAATTTGAATTTAAATGAAATAGTATTATTGTAAATATGTACAACATTAAAAAAAAAATACGAGCTGAGTTTCTTGTCAGTTCTTCTCATCTCGAAATCATTCCGAACTGACGGTAGATTTGATATATCATAAGAGTCTGTAATAGACCTACATGAATAGAGCTATTTTTAATTTGAATTTGAATTTGGTGGCAAACAAGCATACGGCCCATCTGATGGTAAACGGTAATTGCTTGTGCTATAAAAATAATATTTATTTTAGTAGTTCAAATAAACAGTTGTGTTCCTATTCATTAACTAAAACGAATAATAGTTGTTAAATTGAGAATCTATATATATATATAACTCAAAGGTGACTGACGTAGTGATCTATCAACGCACAGCCCAAACCACTGGATGGATCGGGCTGAAATTTGGCATGCAGGTAGATGTTATGACGTACGCATCCGCTAAGAAAGGATTTTGATTAATTCTACCCTCAAGGGGATAAAATAGGGGATGAAAGTTTGTATGAAACTTTGTCAATTTTTAACCGATCGGGCTGAGACTTTGCATGCATAAAGCTACTATGACGTAGGCATCCCCTAAGAAAGGATTTTGATAAATTCCACCCCTAAGGGCATAAATTAACGCGAGCGAAGCCGCGGGCAAAAGCTAGTACTTACATAAAAACTAACTGAACCCGCATTTTTTTTTGCTATATAAATTGAAATTGCTGTGCCTACACTTGTAATATTTCTGTCAACACTTGAGACCCTTCCATTAGTTTACGTTTCCACTAACATAGATTTAAGTTAAGTACAAAATCAGTCTACGTCCCGACTCCGCGTCGACTGTACACGTTACTAATAAGCCATGTAGCAGACTACCAGTAAACTTAATAATGTCTAATAAATAGTGCAATTATTTTACCGGTATACTCACTACCTATATACTACAATAAATAATATATTATGTAGCGACACCTCATCACAACATATATAAGGCTACAGTTATGAGGAAAATACCGCGCTACATCGCTAATTAAAAATAGGAGTTGGTGATAGAAGGGTGAAAATTTACCTCTAACTGTTTAGCACATCGCCTTAATTCCAATCGTCGCGGGTTCTATTCTCAGCACGATACAAACATTTGTATTCATGAGTAGGATTGTTTGTATCCGTCTGGATGTTTTCTATATGTATTTACAAAAAAAATATCTAAATATTTATTTCAGTTGTTTAGTATTCAGAACAAAAGCTCCACTTATCTTGGCACTAGGGAATACGATCCCGACTAGTTTTTTAATCCCGGGATTTCGGGATTACTGAAAGATAATACCGGGATTCCTGGATCGATCCCGGGATCAGTTTAGGAATGCAGTGGCAGTGAAGTCAGTAAATTATTTTCAGTCATTCTATTTTTATTTTAGTAATAGGTAATGGTTTCATTTTAATGCTATATTAAACAAAATTTGCTTCTAATTTCATGAAAGACTAATATTTGAGTTTGCTAATAGTAATACATACTTACTTACTAAAATTAATTTTTAGTAAGTAAGTATGTATAACTATTCGTAACTTTCAGAAAATTTACTTACGATCCCGACTAGTTTTTTAATCCCGGGATTTCGGTATTACTTAAAGATAATACCAGGATCACAGGCAATGAAAAGTCAGTAAATTATTTTCAGTCATTCTATTTATATTTTGGTAATAGGTAATGGTTTCATTTTAAGCTATATTAAACAAAATTTGAAATAAGTATAAACAAATACAAACAATTAAATATCTGCATTTAAGTTGCCAATATGTAGCATAATCATTCATTGTAAATAACATTGCATGTCAGTTTCTATTGCTATCTGTTTATATCACGTCGTGTAGAAATGTTTTGGTCTGAAATTGATGTGTTAAATTATTTATTTTGTTTTAGATTTTTTACTATTTTGATCTTATTAAATAATACGAATATAATGCGAATTTGCTTCAAATTTCATTTGTAGTTAACAAATTATAATACATACTTACAAAAAATGTAACTTTGAGAAAATCAATTCTGTTAGACTCACTTAGAGAAACCTAGAAAACACCTACAACCATAAGAATGTAAGACAAGTAGGTATGATAAATCATCGACTTCGACAAATATGGTAATTCTTACATATCATTATAGTTCTTGCAATATTACGCTATATATAATAAAAACATATTACGCCGACCCCAAATAAATGGGATAAGGATGAAGCAGATGATGATTATAGTTCTTGCAAAAGCCATTTGCGCTTATAGTAAACGAAATATTTGCTACGAAATTCATTTCTCAGATCGCCGTGAAGATTAACTTTTGTACACATACACACAACGCCATCGCAAACTAATTCAATCAGCTGATTATCCAAGATGGCCGATAAATGGTAAATAGACGTTAAGTTCGTTTCGTTTCATGCAAAAATACAAAATTTAATAATTCGTAAAATATCGTAACATTTTTGTTAATCCCGAAAATCCCGGGATTTGTTACATAAAATCCCGGGATATTCGGGACCGAAATTTCTACCGGGATTCAGGATCAAATCCTCTATTTGGGACTGAATGATGTTGAATGAATTGTCCATTAATTATAGGTAGCCATTTCTTGCTAAGGTTTATGCTTTGCTCTAACAACATCAACGTGTAGTATCCAAAATACTTCATGTACACCCTTCGAAATATGCAGTACCACAAACTAATATCAAATTCATCAGGCGACAAGTGGAACTTGCTCTCTCAGCTACAAGTAGAGCGACTGGCAACTTGCTAAACTTGTAATTCGGTATGTAAATCAAACGGGCGGTGCTACAGACTGGCGTCAATTAGTCATTAACTAGGGGCAAACAGTTTGATGGAGCTGATGTGGTTTCCGCATCCATGGTATGCTGTTACTTTAGTTGTACTAAACATTTAGTTTAGTATATTGACGGCCTCGGCAGTCTAGCGGTTTAGCACACCGCTTAAATTCCGATGGTCACGGGTTCGATTCCTGACGGCACAAACATTTGTATTCGTGAGTCTGATTGTTTATCGCTCTATGTGTTTTTTATGTATAATATGTATTTGCATCAGTTATTTAATACCCATAAAACAAAAAATATTATTCCAATTTATAACATTTCCCTTATTAAATAAGCATTACTCTCGTAAATATGTTTCCAAGGATGTAGTTATATTATTAGTTTCAAAACGAGCTTATAGGGGCCACGGTTTGAAGACCAGTGATTCCCAAAGTGGTCTATATTGACCTATGACAAACTGCAAGGGGTCTACGACAACGGTTATCTTGTTGTTTTTACTACAGTTAGAAATTTACAAAAAATCAATAACAGGTAAGAATAGGGGGTCTACTCAAAACCGAAATATGGCAACGTGTCTACGACACAAAAAGTTTGGGAACCTCTGCTACAGACCATACAAAAGAAGTAGTTGTTGGTGGAATACGGTAGACGTGTCTGACCCAAAGCGGCTATCTGTATACACACTGTTACTACGGCCGTCCCGACTAATGTTGCCAGGTGTCCCGATTTGCGCGGGACGTCCCGATTTTCAGGGGTCTGGGGACGCGTCCCCAGTACCTGATCTTGTTATGTAAGATTAAATACACATATAATTTAGGTAATTAATTTAATACTTGCACTAGTAGTTTAAAACGCAATAAATTAAATCCAGATTTAAAAATGATGGAGATATTTAATGGATACATACACAGCAGTAAATATAATTTATTCTCGCTCTGATTCAGTTGCATGTTTATATATATATGTATATATATGTCACATGTAACATATCAACTATTACTTAGCAACATGATTACTTATGTATTTTAAATGTCTAGGATTAGATTTTTTCTTCTAAAATCATTCGGCCTTATTACAAAAAGATAAACCTGGTTTAGCACTAGTAATAAACCATTCACCAATGTATTCCTTATTACAAAATGAAGTTTATCTCTAAATCGTGATTCGTCTATGGTCTAAAGTTAGACCTGCGATGCCCCTAGTTTAACAGTGGTCTAAATGCAAAAATACAAACTCCATTTTAAAAATTCTATTGTAAGTTGTAGTTTTTGGAAAAATAGTTTAACTAAATTAAAAATAAACTTAATTAAAAATATTTAAAGCAAATTTTACGACAATAAAAATATATATAAGACGTTATTTGTTATTTTTTCACTCATTTGATATTTGAAATAGTCACCATTCGAACGATCCAATAAAAATATCTCGCCGTTCCTTTTCTCCGTATAGGACTCCTACTTGTAATTTAAAACTGATTTTCAGCCTAATAGTACATTAATAAATATTATATATTAATGAAATAGTTATAATGAAGACATAGATGAATAGAAATAAATTTATTTTTAGTTTATACATTTTTCTTTGAACTAATATTATTTTTTATCTTTTCAGTTTTCTGGTAAAATGGAACGTAATTGTACGATGACAGACATGAGTGACTGATTTCTGTATGGAATACATAATGAACGATTTAACTGTAGTACTAAGTAGTCCTCTGTTAGATCTGGATTCGTAATAATGTTAGGTTTATTCCAAGTATTAACTTCAGGAATGGTTTAAACCACGACCATTTAGACCACGTTTCGTCCGAGTTTTAACAGATTTTTTGTAATAAGACCGATTGTGTCTAATGCGGTCCCTTAATCCATTACATTTAAGACATCTTGTTATCGCTAGCTCCGGATATAGATGGCGCTGGAAGCAAGCACCAACGCCAAAGCAGTATTAATTATTACAATTACCCGCAGTTGTAATATTGTGAAACTAGATGGCGCTAGCGGCACACTCGTCCCCACTAATACTACTTTACCCATTTTTAGAACGCCATCTTATAATGCAGATTCTTTTTGTTTGGCATTCTATTCCGAACCGTTGAAGAGAAAGGTTTAACAGTAGACTCCAAAGTTTGTTGCATTGTATTCGATGATTGGTATTAAGATATAATTATTACAGACAAATTTCTCTAGATCCAACATATCCTTATAATTGTTTAATGAATTTGATTAAAGGAACTAGATAATTAAATATAAAGATTATACCTACATTTATTAATATTTACATTAGAAACTTTTAGAATTAAAATCAAACGTGAATAAATAACTATATATATCTTTAATATGTTTAACTGTATGTTAATTATGGGACACAGTCACAACATCGTATCATTACCCGCAACATTAATCTCTACATTTAAATAACATACATAATATAAAACAACATACAGAAGAGTAAGCAATAGAACAATAGCAGCAAAAACATATCCAAAATTAAATCTGTTAAAATAATAATCACTAATTATAGTTGGACCTGTATCATCATCATCTGCTTCTTCCTTATCCTATTTATTTGTGGTCGGCGTAATATGTTTTTCGCTTCCATTCATCCCTGTTCGCAGTCATCGCGTTATTTACTTCCTTTCTTACTATATCATCTTTCACACAGTCCATCCATCTCTTATTCGGCCTTCCTCTGCCCTTATAACCATCCACATTCATATGTAACACCTTTCTTAAAATATTATCCTCGTTCCTACGCATTACATGTCCATACCATGATAGACGATTACTCTTCAACCTCTTTGACACCGGTGCCACTTTCATACTATAGTTGGACCTATACTGATGGAGATATTCAGTGGATTACAGATATACAGCAGTAAATATAATTTATTCTCGTTTCGATCAGTTGCCTAATAAAAAACCCTTGTTTTCTGTTTACCATCCTGATCTGCAACTCTAAATCCCGATTTTTTTGACCTCACGACTGATAAAACAAATCGGATCTGGCAACAGTAGTCCCGACCAACTTTTAAGTGGGAATAAAGCGGTTTTTCCCGTCGCTTCCCAACCTTAGCACGTTGCAGCCTGTTGTTTTTATCTGCCTTTTATTGCGGGTCGGGCTGTGGGCGCTATCGAATCTTTACGGTTACAGTCCGTATTAATTGATTTCGACAAATTTCCCTCGATTTTATTGTTTCACCGTGAGAGATTTTGCTATGAACAACTTTATTTGGTACTAGCTGTGTTCGCGACTTCGTCCGCGTGATATAATCACTTTGCTTACTTACATTTTTTGAAATTTAAAGACGATGGACTATGATGAATGATAATACTTTTTGTGCCATCGTTCTAGTTACAAAAAAGACGAATTTTCAAACAAATTTTCAAATTCAAATTCAAAAATCATTTATTCATGTAGAACATTTTAGCCGCTTATAAACATCAAGTTTTACATTATAATTTTATTTTTTTCCCTACCGTCCAGTTCGGTATATAGATCCAATATTCATCCCCTGTACTATATAACCCCCTTAAGAGTAAAATTTTTACAAACTTTGAATGTCATGTGCTTATATTCAATCAACAGCTCAAAAGATAAGTTTACAACTTCTAAAAATGACGATCTTCCATACAATCTTTCATCTACTCTTTCAACCCCTTACAAAACTTTTATCACATTAAAAAGTAGCCTATGTCATTTCTCGGGTTCTAGACTATCTGTGTACCAAATTTCATTTAAATCGGTTCAGTAATTTTGGTGTGACAGTGAGACACAGACAGATAGAGTTACTTTCGCATTTATAATATTAGTAAGGAGTAAGGATAAGGATCTCACATGTAGTCATTCCTGAGATGTAAGTTATTTTGCCTCCTAACTCTCATCTCACAGCCGATATCAAAGTATATTAACAGTATGTTCTCCCTACTAATACTAAGTAATAATTGAAATGTCGGTTTGTTAAGTTTAAAGATTCCCACGTCCTCGTGTTACGACACAATTTATCTTTTCTTTAATTACCTACTTATTATACGATATATATTATATATTGACGACCTCAGTGGTCTAGCGGTCTAGCACACCGCTTTACGACCGATGGTCGCGGGTTCGATTCCTCGCACGTTACAAATATTTGTATTCGTGAGTATGATTGTTTGTATCGGCCTGGGTGTTTTCTATATATAATATGTATGTATATACAAAAAAAAATCTGTGTATATGTATCAGTTATCTACCCATAACACAAACTTTAGCTAGCTTAACTTCAGTCTAGATGGCGCTGTATGAATTGTCCTGAGATTATTATTATATTACTAGCAGTCCCGGCAAACGTTGTTTTGCCATATAAATTAATAACGCTATAAAAAAATAGAAGTTGATGATAGAAGGGTGAAAATTTAGGATTGTATGTATTTTTTTATGTTGTATCATAAAAAATTAGAAACTAAAAATTTGACTAAAAATTCAAAAAAAAAAATATAGGGGTGGACTACCCCTAACATTTAGGGGGATGAAAAATAGATGTTGGCCGATTTTCAGACCTACTCAATACGCTCACAAAATTTCATGAGAATCGGTCAAGCCGTTTCGGAGGAGCATGTGAACGAAAACTGTAACACGAGAATTTTATATATAAGATTATTATTATATACCTACTATAATCACACTTTTTGTTAACAGTACCTCCAAATATCCTAGATGAAGAGAGCACCCAATCAGCGGTAGCGGTCCGCGAGAATCAGAACATCAGCCTGGTGTGTAAAGCGGATGGTTTCCCAGCACCCAAGATTATGTGGAGAAGAGAGGATGGACAACCCATATCTGTTGACAGAAGGAAGAAAGGTACGTTCTCTTCTTTTTTTTATATACTATGCAGGTAGCAAGCATACGGCTCGTCGTAAACTGTTACCGTAATCTATGGACGCTTGAAACACTAGGGGTATCACGTGCTCATTGCCGACTCTGTTTACAATATGTATCACAATTTTTATTGCTAATTAATTCTGCTCTACCATAGGCAAAGCTATTGAGCTATGACTGTTTTGAGTTATTGAAGTGAAGATACAATTCCTTCAAAAAATGTTTTTCTTAATAATTTTATTGTTATACATGTGCAGGAATCCCAACTGAATAACTCATATATTTATATTTTATATTTATGTAATTTTTAATTATATTTAAAACTAGCTGTACTCGCGACTTCGTCCGCGTGGAATTTAACTTTATTTTTCTAAAATAAAAGTAGCCTAAGTTACTCCTTATTACATTAGCTACCTGCCAATAAAAGTCCCGTTAAAATCGGTCTAGCCATTTCAGAGATTAGACGGAACAAAAAGACAGACAGACAGACAAAAATTGTAAAAAATGTTACTTTGGTGTATGCACCGTTTTTATATTCATATGCATGTAGTAATCGGTTATTTCAATATTACAAACAGACAACCCAATTTTATTAATATGTATACATAACTTTTATTATTGTACGTGTCTGCAATATTACATATTAAGTCCATCACAAACCCGTGTCAACTCAATCTGTACCGGACCGTCGCGTCGTCTCTACATAATTAAACCAGTTTAAGGGCAAAAATCTGGTTTGATAATCATTGTACAGAGAACTCTACATAATTAAACCAGTTTAAGGGCAAAAATCTGGTTTGATAATCATTGTACAGAGAAAGCCGAGTTGTACGGCATTAACACTTCAAACACACAGAACAAGTGCTGCGGAGAAAAACTTCCAAAAATTGGGACTGAATTTTAAGAGCGATTTTCTTGTACCAACGTAAATTAATGTATGGTGTTTCCACTTCAGGCACTTGTCGCTAATTGTGTGTGACCCTCCCTGCACCCCTACACGTCGGACGTGTCATCCCCATCTGCTATGATTATTTGCGAAGGGTTCGTCGAATGCTTTAATTACGCGAGGCATCGGAACTGCGTTTCCAATTCGGGACGTGTTAAGCTTTTGTTTGAATTAATACGGTGGCTGCAAAATCCTCTTTTTAAATCGGATTTTAATGGAAACACTCATCTCGGGATTCGAGTGTGGATTGTTACGACAGCGGGTTCGGTTTTATTTTGAAATTAGATATAAACTTTTGCTAATTCTAATTAGTAATTACTAGCTACTCCACCCGGCTTCGCACGGGTTTACATGTATTGTATAGTATATATAAACTTTCTTCTTGAATTACTTTATCACACTTCAAAATTCGTTGCGTAGTAAATCTTTAAAACTACGCAATGGATTTTGAAGCGGTTTTTTTTAGTAGATAGAGTATTTCAAGAGGAAGGTTTATAGATATAATACAAATATTATACCCCGCGCAAAGCCAGGGCGAGTAGCTAGTATTAAATAATTAATGTAATAAATTATTTATAATGATAAACTTTACAAAAAAATAATATATTACATTCTTTAAAATTTTGAACTTGTATATCCTCCACAAATTGTATTGTTTTGTATTAATAAATTAATTGGAATAAATAAACTAGCGGATCTTCTAGATGTTTTCCGGGTGCTAATAACTGCATAAATTTTGTATACATTTACATGAAATGTAACTCCATAACAGTTAAAAAATTGCAGTTATAAAATACTGTTCTATGTTAAAGTACAGGATGTTTAAAACTTCATTTTTTTTTTTTATTTATTTTGAAAACCAACAGCGAAACAAATAATAATAAATAATATGTACTTAAATATAAGGCCAATTAAAGGTTTTCTCACAATTACAATATTCAGTGTTACAACACTAAAGTATTAACATATTATTGTTCTGTTTATCCACAAGTGTAATTTATACAATATAATGATTATACCATCTAATTTCTGCAAATTTTACTAGTTTCTTACTAAAGTAATAACTTTGTAGCATTAGATTTAAATGTTACCTTTTTTAAGCTGAATATATCGATTTCACTAAAAACATCGTTATACAGCTTCGGTAGTCGTATTCGTGGCGCGTTCCTTGCGTAGTTTGTGTATGCTCTTTGTATGTGTAGTAATGGTGGATGAAAACTTCATTCAAAATATCTTCATTCATGTAGGTCTATTACAGACTCGTATGATATGTCAAATCCTCCGTCAGATCGGAATGATTTCGAGATACGAAAAACTGGCAAGAAACACAGCTCGTAATCTTTCCAAATATGGTTGTACATGTTTACAATAATACAGATTCATTTTTAAATTCAAATTAAAATAAAAAATATCTTTATTCATGTAGGTCTATTACAGACTCTTATGATATGTCAAATCTACCGTCAGTTCGGAATGATATCGAGATGAGAAGAACTGACAAGAAACTCAGCTCGTATTTTTTTCAAATAAATGTTGTACATGTTTACAATAGTACAGATTCATTTTTAAATTCAAATTTGGAGAATATCTTTATTCATGTAGGTCTATTACAGACTCTTATGATATGTCAAATCTACCGTCAGTTCGGAATGATATCGAGATGAGAAGAACTGACAAGAAACTCAGCTCGTATTCTTTTCAAATAAATGTTGTACATGTTTACAATAATACAGATACATTTTTAAATTCAAATTTAGAAGAATAGAGTGACAACCAGCATATCAAATCTAATCAGCGTTCGTAACACGAACAGACCAGTCCTCACAAGCAGGACCTGTTCCCGAGACGGATGTGCCTGCCATCATTCCATTTAACATATAGGAACCATTGATTTTCTTTATAATCTATATAAAAAAAAAAAACAAATAAAAATACAATCTTATCTTGGCTAGATATAAGCAACAAATAATAGCTCACTTAGGTAATTGCGATATGATATAAAACTGTATACGGTAGCATATGCTATTGCTCACTTGCTTTCTTCACGGTCGGATAACCTCAAATACGGTGACGTATCAGCCAGCTTATAGTTAGTGACCGAATTTGTGCCCGAAATCAGTGTGACATTGAGACAGGGTTGCCTCGTGTCATGGCCACGATTTATATTTATAAATATCGGAGTGTTTTGTTGGTAAAAATTCCACAGCATCCGTCTGCTCCTTTCAGATGTTACTCTTTCGAAAATTATTCATTACATTTGTCGCTAATACAATGAAGATTTATCTCGATATAGGATATAGATATTTTCCATTTAAGTTCTTTAGTGCGTGCGTTGGGAGAGGCCTATGTCCAGCAGTGGACTGCAGTGAGCTGATGATGATGATGATGATGAAGTTATTCAGTTTCGAAGATAGTCAAAGTTTCCCATATACAGTTAGATTAAAGAACTGTAAAATTATATTTTGAGTATAGCTTTGCATGCGTGACGTGAGCAACTAGAAAGAGGAACAAACTGGAAGTTTTTGAAATGTGGTGTTGGAGAAGGATGAAAAGAAATAAAGGAAATGTATTTCTTATACAAATACAAAAGCTTAAAAAAGGCATATATTGAATGCTATGGAAAATAGACGAGGGAAAATGACACTCAATAAATCATGGTAAATTTATGAAAATTATTATTGAGGTAAAAATAGAAGAAAAACTACATGATAAACAAACTACATTTAAAAACAAAGTTGGAGAATCAACAAATAAAGAGCATGATGAAAGAACGTGGAAAGTGGCAAGAGCTCCACCGAGAAGAGCGTGCCTCTTAAATTATGAATGAATGAATGAAAATTATGTTTAATATTGTACCTAATTACTTTTCTATAAATTTCTGTTAACAAAATCTACCCAAAATTATCATAGTACTTTTTGTTAGATATTTGTAGCACCTGTAGCACTGCGACCTACATAGATCTATTGTGCTCGCCCTTTTTCAGAGTTCTCTACCTAGACCCCTGACGGGTCAAGAATTGAAAAATATTCTTAGGAGCGATGGTTTTTATCTCCTCGGGAAAGAGTGTATACTTTCCAAAGGAGATATTTCGTTTATGCATGAGTGGGCTACAACCACATAGGATATGTAGTGGCGTTTCCTCTTCAGTTTGACAGAATCTGCAGATTTTTGTCTAGGCATAGGCCTAGTTTTGCCAAAAGCTCAAAAAAGGGTTACTAAGAGGTAAAAACAGATAAATGATTAGGATAGTTATAGGAATACCAATTGTCATGAGAATTCTCGGACAACATTTTTGTACGTCAGTACGAGGTACGAGAATGTCGTTATTCTTATAGAATTTTGTACGAGATTTTCACGTACAGAAATTTATAGATGATGAATACAAAAGTATCATATAAGAAGACTTGTCCTCATCCATGTTCATAATTTTGAGGTTGATGATGTATAAGGTTGAAATACTATACCTTTTGTATTACATTTTTGGGAACCTATATAAGAAGCAATACGTTCAATGTGACAACCCTGAGTTCAGTTGGCACAGAGTCAGCGGTGAGCCGAAATTAATTTTGTGGGAAGGTGATAGTTGAAAGCGGCCTATTAATGACAGGAAGTGAGAGATATGAAATTCTCCATTAAATGTTTAATATGCACGTAATATCTTAATTTTTACAAATATATTATTATCTCATAGGAGGAAAGACTTATAAATGTGGTTGGTTAGAGGGCATAAAAAGAGATGGATGAACTGTGTGATAGATTATATGGCAAGAAAGAGATTGATCAACGATATGACTATAAACAGAGATGAATATGGAAGAGAAAAACATATTATGCCGGATTTAGATAATGAATGGAATAAGAAAGAAGCAGAAGATGACCAGAAGAAGAGGTTCCTAAGAGTGGTTACATCAAGATTTAATAGTGCTTCTGCCTGCGGTAATGATATACACCTGCTAGAGTATCAGCGTAGATGATACAAATAGACTACTACAATATTTCTAGCAATATACTGAATCAGGACCACCTCCTTGCCTCACTAAAATCTATTATTGCTCAATTCCTCATAAATTCGCTACAATGGGCTAAATAACTTGACATCAAGCTCGTCCGATCATCGTCCAATAGTAGCACATAGTAGTACACCACTCCCATATTCATCCACACAAAAAAACATGTTCATTTACACGCAAGGCCGTATGGAAATCGATTGAATCTAAAGCACATTGCTAGTTATCATCGGGACCTCCAGACCCCATTACTAATAACCCACTCTCGCACTATAAATGATAAAGATAAAAAAATAGAACATATTTAAATAGAGAAACAACCAAAAAAGCCTTTAAAGCGGTAGTTGCATCCAGGCAAAGCCGCTCTAATTGCTTAATATATTCGAGCGTGGAGCACTCTCATTACATTCATTGTTCCCCACTGCGGCCGCGCGAATGCTCGGTAATTGTAAATACAGGCAAACTCATTTGGGCACTTGATGGCTCCGCGCCTGGCCCGCTCGGACGCGCGCAGAATTTTTAATTTTTATGAGTTTTTAAGCTAGATTGTTTAACGGTACGCGTGCCGGTCAAAGCGACGACCTCGGCACGTAAACATCGCTTTATGCCGAGTTTTTGATGAAAAAATACCTCTTGCCTTTTAATGAAGTCGGTGACGGGTTGCCTTCGCATTTGCCTACGTGTGATCCCTTGTGGGGGATGCTAAGTGCCTCTTTTATAGTATTATACGATTAGAATGCTAACAGAGATTAGAATTAATAATTTTTTTTGTTGAAATTCTATGTAATTTGAACTTCAATACACAGCTATATGCGAACATGTCGAGTGTTGCGTACAACACAACGTCGAGAGCTGGAGCCTTTGATTACTATAATATCTACATGACTGAACGATTCAAATCTAAAATAATTTCCAAATATCTTGATTCAAAAGTATCAGTAAAAAATTCTTGCTTAGTAAATGTAGTACTAATAGAGGGTAGTGGAATTCTGAAAGTACGATTTTCTAACATGGTTTCTTATTTGATCATTTTCATAACTGTAATGTAAATAAATACTATATATATATCGATCTGAAGATCTGAAGATCTTTTAAAACTTTATTAACTCGACTTGTATCGTAAATTATTACTTGAATGACGATCGTGCATGGCAATAGTTTTCATGTTCGGGATTTTCATTAAATGTTAGACATAGACACCAATATAAATACCTATGCATTGTAAATAAACTGGCTTTTAAAAAAAAAGTAATTCAATTGAGTTTCTTGCCAGTTCTTCTCAATTGGATCTATATACCGAACTGGACGGTAGGGAAAAAAATATAATGTAAAAACTTGACGTTCATAAGCGTCTAAAATGTCCTACATGAATAAATGATTTTTGAATTTGAATTTGAATTTAAATATTGTAGTTACTAAAATAATGTATAGAAATCATAAACCACCCTATCTCTCTCTCACACACATACACATATTACTTACATATACATATATACATATCAAATGTGAGTAGCTTTGACGTGGCCTAGTGTTTTGAGTAGTCATGCTCACTAAAATGTCCAGACTTGTGGCGGCGTGGTGGGCCGGGTCATTGGGCTCCCTAAAATATGGTCGAGCGCAGTGATGGCTGGCTCATCCGTCATACTCGTGAACGGGTGCTGCTTGTAGGGACTGGTCTGCTCTAATCACTATGACTGATTTCCTCTTATTAATTGTTTAACCAGTTGGTTATGTATTCAATATTTTTTCTTTTTGAGTATTTAATTGAATTAGTGCTAATTGGTGGTTTGTATTCACACACTTAAACTTAAAAATGTAAAGTAATAATAAAATTATTTAAAAGAGCAACACGCAAGTTTCTTGCTCGTTCTTCTTGTGATGAGACAGCTTTCCGAACGAGCGGTAGATTAAAAAAAATGTAATGACTATTCAAAAGTGCTTCAATGTAAGTTTATTTGAATAAATGATTTTCTATTCTATTCTAAATACCAGCATAGGCTCTTTATGTTTTGTACTTTCATTATTTTTGTTTGTAAGTTAAATCTTCTTTGTTTTGGTAAATTTAAATATTTTGTAAATTTTATTATACAAACATGATGTGGGTAACGTCATGGCATGTATTTTTTGGAATTATATAAACTCGGTGGAGGGTGAATGTCATTATTTCTTCAGTGAATTATGTACTAAACATGTTTTTTGTTGTTTGTTTTAAAATGTTTTTTTGTTGCAGTGACCGTGTACGAGGGAGATACACTGAGCTTGCAGCGCATCAGCCGCACCGAGATGGGAGCGTACCTGTGCATTGCCACTAATGCTGTCCCCCCATCTGTATCTAAGAGGATCATCGTTGATGTTGAATGTTAGTATTTAATTTTTATTTATACCAACGGACTAAAATTCAAAATTCAAAAATAATTTATTCATGTAGGACATTTTAGCCGCTTATCAATGTCAAATTTTTTATATTATAATTTTTACTCTAACAGTTCAGTAGATCCAATTGAGTAGAACTGGCAAGAATCAAGCTCGATTGAATTACTTTTTTTTAAAAGCCAGTTTAGGGCCGATAAGCTAGTCGAAATTCGACCCTATGTTGTATTATTTAAATTTTAATTTTGAATGTTACTACGGTTCTACTAAGTAGAACGGTACCTAGAACGCTGAGGTTGTTAACTGGATCTCGGTGGTCTAGCGGTTTACTTACGATGGTCGGGATTTCGAATCCTATACACTACAAACATTTATATTCATGAGTATGATTGTTTGTGTCGATCTGGGTGTTTTCTATGTATATTATATATTTACAAAAATTAATTTAATTTTAGATTCTTAGTTGTACAGTATTATTCTTTAATCCTCTCAAGCACTTCTTCATTCCTTATTTTATCTTTCAATTCTTCTCCAACACCACATTTCAAAGGCTTCCAGTTTGTCTCTTTCCTTTTGTGTCAATGTCCACGTCTCACAGTCATACAAGGCTATACTACAGATGTAGGAACGAAGTAATTAACAACATTCATCATCATCATCTCAGCCCGGAAGCCGTCCACTGCTGAACATAGGCCTCCCCCAAAGATCTCCACGACCATCGGTCCTGCGCTGCTCGCATCCAATGCCTTCCAGCGATCTTGACCAGATCGTCGGTCCACCTTGCTGGAGGCCTTCCCACGCTGCGTCTTCCAGTCCGTAGTCGCCACTCGAGGACTTTACTGCCCCAACGGCCATCTGTCCTACGAGCTATGTGCCCTGCCCATTGCCACTACAGAGTCGCAATTTCTTCATTCAACAACATTATTGAAGGAAAAGAGATGGAAAGAGAGGAAGGGGAAGACCGAGACACAGCTATATCAAGCATGTTAAAGAAAAAGTTGGAGTCGTGTCGTATCAACAGCTAAAAGGACTGATGGAAGATCGTGGAAAGTGGCAGGAGCTCCACCGACAAGAGCACAGCTCTTACATAAATTATGAATGAATGAAGTTGTAGAATTTTCATTTTAAATATAATATATATATAATACGACGACGATACGACGTCGGTAGGGAAAAAAATTCTAATGTAAAAACTTGACGTTCATAAGCGGCTAAAATGTCCTACATGAATAAATGATTTTTGAATTTGAATTTGAATTTAATGTCAAAGTTTGCTTTTTAAGGGTTTTAACCACATTCCGTGAGATGGTGATTGATGTTGATATACTCCAGAGCAATCAGTTTTTTTCTAAGCGTCGATAATTAAATTGCATGTTACAAAAATAAGTATCGTATTTATATCAGTTGTATAGTACCCATAACACAAGCTTTGCTTAGATTGGAGCTATATGGCGCTGTGTGAATTGTCCCGGATTATTATTATGGACAAATCTTATTAATATTACTAGCTGTTCTTGCGACTTCGTCCGCGTAGAAATTAACTTTATTTTTCTAAAACAAAAGTAGCCTAAGTTACTCAATATTACATCAGCTATATTACATTAGCCAATAAAAGTCCCGTCAAAATCGGTCCAGCCATTTCAGAGATTAGCCGGAACAAACAGACAGATAGGCAAAACTTGTAAAAAATGTTATTTTGGTGTTACTTACCGTATTTAAATTCATATGCATGTGGTAAAAAACGGTTATTTCAATATTACAAACTGACACTCCAATTTTATTTATATGTATAGGTGTACAATGATGCGAAGTCGGGGCGGGTAGTTAGTAATATAATTATATAACATCGACGTATAAAGCCATTAATTTTTGTTTTAACATCTACAATACTATAACTAATAATAATAATAATAATAATAATAATAATAATAATAATAATAATAATAATAATAATAATAATAATCTTAGGACAATTCACACAGCGGCATCTAGTCCCAAGTTAAGCTAGCTAAAGCTTGTGTTATAGGTACTAGATAACTGATACAAATACATAGATATTTTTTTTTTGTAAATACATACATATTATATATAGAAAACACCCAGACCGATACAAACAATCATACTCATGAATACAAATGTTTGTGCCGTGCGAGGAATCGAACCCGCGACCATCGGTCGTAAAGCGGTGTACTAGACCGCTGGACCACCGAGGTCGTCAATACTATAGACATTTATTAAATTTATACCAGATAACTTCAAAAAGACAATTTCAAACCAAATTGAAAATAACAACTTTATTTAAATACCAACCTTTTGAAAGGAAAAAGCGCAGATACCGCAAAATACTATTATTATTCTATACCGGAATTCTTGACTCGCCTTTTTATTTTCAATTCTTACAACGAGCAGCTGACTAAATAAAAGACAAGATGGCCGCCGGTGATAATTGTAAGATAATATTTTTTCTCGTTGTATGCTTCAGTGAAGATTGTGGTTCCAGACAATCGATCTTGTAGGAAGGGGGCGGTGAAAATGTTTACGCGCTAGAAAATAAATAAAGGGCTACCAATGGGAATATCTTAGAACGGAACATGTAAGAGTGTAAACAAAACTGTATGGTTACATTCTGACGGTTCGGTAAAACTAAAATGACTAGCCGAACCGTCACTTGTATAGAATGAATGAGAGTATATAGGTGTCTATGTCTAACATTAAATGAAAATCCAGTGCATGAACAACTATTGCCATGCACGCTCGTCATTCAAGTAATCGTTTAGCGAGTAATAGGCTTTGCTCAGTAAATATGATTTAACAGATGTTTTGAATTTATTTAATAATAGAAATAGAAATAATCTTTATTCAAATAAACTCATTACAAGCACTATTGAATAGTCATATTTTGATTCTACCACTCATTCGGAATGCAGATTCATCACAAGAAGAATGAGCTAGAAACTTGTGTGTTGCTCTTTTGAATAGATATTTTTTTATATAAATAATTACACAATAATAAGAGGCATGGGATAATCTTAATAATAGTATGTAATATGTAATATCAGCTGTCTAGTACCAATAACATAAGCTCTGACTCTCGCCCCGGCTTCACATGGGTGTACATGTATTATATATATAATAATAACCTCAGAACAATTCACACAGCGCCATCTAGACCCAAGTTAAGCTAGCTAAAGCTTGTGTTATGGGTACTAGACAACTGATACAAATACATAGATATTTTTTTTTCGTAAATACATACATATTATACATAGAAAACACCCAGACCGATACAAACAATCATACTCATGAATACAAATGTTTGTGCCGTGCGAGGAATCGAACCCGCCACCATCGGTAGTAAGGCAGTGTGCTAAACCGCTAGACCACCGAGGTCGTCGATTGGTAGATTGTAAATGTAAAGCAATTAATATGTATGTATATATATAAACCTTCCTCTAAAATCACTCTATCTATTAAAAAAACTGCTATAAAATCCGTTGCGTAGTTTTAAAGATTTAAACATACATAGGGACAGACAGCGACAGCGACTTTTTTTTATGTAGTGATATAATTATCAAATAACATTGAAAACGTTAGTCGACATCATAGAAGACCGAAGAGCTGGCAGCTACCTTGGACAAAGAATTAGTCTAGCTATTCAAAGAGGGAACGCTGCCAGTATGTACGGTAGTACGGTAATACGGTAGGGAAAAAATAAAATTATAAATGTCCTACATGAATAAATGATTTTTGAATTTGAATTTGAATTTGAAAAGAATCTTCGGAACGTTGCCTAAAGGGACCCCTTTTAATAATATATTTTAGTCATCATATTATATATATTTTTTAAGCTTTTTACTTTTATGTTCTTAGTTGTACAATTAGGTTATGTAAATACTAGTAATACATTGAAAGAATTGACAATATTGTTCTTTGAAGAAAAGTCATACTTGTATCGTAAATGTGAAATAAATAAACACAAAGTAAGCATCACAATTTCCCTGGCAGCATCATAATGAAGTCATCCACCATGAGGACATAAAAGAAACCTTCAACGTTATAAATATTTTAAAACGTCATAGAATATTAAAGCGCATCACACGGCACGAGTAATATTCTACTCGAATATTGCCATCATAAACTCTGAAAATGTGAATTACATTCTCAAAGTGTGGATTTTATTATCTCGGCCGGTCTGTGAAAAATCGCCGGACCCCGGCCGCGCTTGAAACTTTGCACTATCAATCATGATTGAAAGTTTATAAATTGCTTCCCCCAAGTTTGTTGTGTACATCGTTTTATACGTATGTCCCGTTGTTTTATCCTGTTGCGTTGATTGATATCTGAAGAGCGCGCGATTGGGAATTGGTAGCCTGTTTTAGGGAAACAAGGGATGAATTGATGTGGCTATTTGCTTGTAGCCTGTCTGTAGAATCTGAATATATTTTGTGCAATATATCAAGTAGGGACCTAATACTTCCTTTCAGTTTAAGATGTTACTACAATATAATAATCTCAGGACAATTCACACAGCGCCATCTAGACGCAAGTTAAGCTAGCTAAAGCTTGTGTTATTTGCACTAGATAACTTTTTCTCCTAAATACATACATAGAAAATTGCTTCCTCCAAGTTTGCTTTGTACATCGTTTTATATGTATGTCCCGTTGTTTTATCCTGTTGCGTTGATTGATATCTGAAGAGCGCGCGATTGGGAATTGGTACCCTGTTTTAGGGAAACAAGGGATGAATTGATGTGGCGATTTGCTTGTAGCCTCTCTGTAGAATCTGAATATATTATGTGCAATATATCAAGTAGGGACCTAATACTTCCTTTCAGTTTAACCTGATACTATAATATAATAATCTCAGGACAATTCACACAGCGCCATCTAGACGCAAGTTAAGCTAGCTAAAGCTTGTGTTATTTGCACTAGATAACTTTTTCTCCTAAATACATACATATTATACATATAAATTTGCTTCCCCCAAGTTTGTTGTGTACATCGTTTTATACGTATGTCCCGTTGTTTTATCCTGTTGCGTTGATTGATATCTGAAGAGCGCGCGATTGGGAATTGGTACCCTGTTTTAGGGAAACAAGGGATGAATTGATGTGGCGATTTGCTTGTAGCCTCTCTGTAGAATCTGAATATATTATGTGCAATATATCAAGTAGGGACCTAATACTTCCTTTCAGTTTAACCTGATACTATAATATAATAATCTCAGGACAATTCACACAGCGCCATCTAGACGCAAGTTAAGCTAGCTAAAGCTTGTGTTATTGGCACTAGATAACTTTTTTTCGTAAATACATACATATTATACATAGAAAATTGCTTCCCCTAAGTTTGTTGTGTACATCGTTTTATACGTATGTCCCGTTGTTTTATCCTGTTGCGTTGATTGATATCTGAAGAGCGCGCGATTGGGAATTGGTAGCCTGTTTTAGGGAAACAAGGGATGAATTGATGTGGCTATTTGCTTGTAGCCTCTCTGTAGAATCTGAATATATTATGTGCAATATATCAAGTAGGGACCTAATACTTCCTTTCAGTTTAACCTGATACTATAATATAATAATCTCAGGACAATTCACACAGCGCCATCTAGACGCAAGTTAAGCTAGCTAAAGCTTGTGTTATTTGCACTAGATAACTTTTTTTCGTAAATACATACATATTATACATAGAAAATTGCTTCCCCTAAGTTTGTTGTGTACATCGTTTTATACGTATGTCCCGTTGTTTTATCCTGTTGCGTTGATTGATATCTGAAGAGTGTGCGATTGGGAATTGGTAGCCTGTTTTAGGGAAACAAGGGATGAATTGATGTGGCTATTTGCTTGTAGCCTCTCTGTAGAATCTGAATATATTATGTGCAATATATCAAGTAGGGACCTAATACTTCCTTTCAGTTTAACCTGATACTATAATATAATAATCTCAGGACAATTCACACAGCGCCATCTAGACGCAAGTTAAGTTAGCTAAAGCTTGTGTTATTGGCACTAGATAACTTTTTTTCGTAAATACATACATATTATACATAGAAAATTGCTTCCCCTAAGTTTGTTGTGTACATCGTTTTATACGTATGTCCCGTTGTTTTATCCTGTTGCGTTGATTGATATCTGAAGAGTGTGCGATTGGGAATTGGTAGCCTGTTTTAGGGAAACAAGGGATGAATTGATGTGGCTATTTGCTTGTATCCTGTCTGTAGAATCTGAATATATTTTGTGCAATATATCAAGTAGTGGCTCAATAGTTCCTTTTAGATTCGGTGAAGCGTGTTTGTCTTTGCGTTTTGGGATATTAAGTTGAGCGCTTTTTGACTTAACTGCTTTTAATAATAATAATAATAATCTCAGGATAGAAGTATCCTGAGATACACAGCGCCATTTAGACTCAAGTTAGGCTAGCTAAAGCTTGTGTTATGAGTACTGGATAACTGATACAAACATAGATATTTTTTTTCTAAATACATACATATTATACATAGAAAACACCCAGACCGACACAAACAATCATACTCATGAATACAAATATTTGTGTCGTGCCAGTCGAACCCGCGACCATCGAAAGTAAGACAGTGTATTAAACCACTAGACCACCGAGGCCGTCAATTGGTAGATTGAAAATGTAAAGCAATTATTATGTATTGCACTATAATAATAATAACGCTGCTTCGAGACTTAGCTGCTTTTGTGTCGGTAGATTACAAATATAAAGTAATTGTGGGCGATAAAGAAAACCAGAATATATATATTCTACCTGCCAAAAAAAGTCCCATCAAAATCGGTCCAACCATTTCAGATATTAGCCGGAGCAAACAGACAAACAGACAAAAATTGTAAAAAATGTTATTTTGGTGTATATACCGTATTTATATCAATTTGCATGTAGTAAAAAACGGTTCTGGTCAAGATCGCTGGAAGGCATTGGATGCGAGCAGCGCAGGACCGATCGTCGTGGAGATCTTTGGGGGAGGCCTATGTCCAGCAGTGGACGTCTTCCGGGCTGCGATGATGATGATGAAAAAACGGTTATTTCAATATTACAAACAGACACTCCAATTTTATTTATATGTATAGATAAATATAATAACAACATAACATAATTAACCTGCATAAATTAGCCACGATATTCATATTTTTAAAGTTCTAACAAACAATTTATATTGTAACAATATATATCATACAACACATATGTTAGTGTTTCTCACTGTGATCTATTTATAATGCATTTAAAATCAATAAAATTAATAATAAATGATAGACCGTGTTGACGGAAAGAAAAGAAGTTTTTATTTATTTTTAATTACATTTCTTTTATGGCTTTTATATAAAAAGAAGTTTCATATGCTAACAACATATATAATAGATAGATAGACAGATAGATAAGTTCTTTATTCAACAATTACAAACACATAGCATACATGAGATACATTTTATAAATAGAAATAAAGTTTACAAATTAAATAATACAGAAATATAATATTACAAAATAAAATCAAAATGGAGGTGGCTCTATGTGTCGCAATGATGAAGAGGCAACCAACTCAGCATGAAGCTACAGATAAGTCTGCAGCGCTGATATTCTGTTGGCTCCTATAAGTAAATACATACTTACATACATATATACGTGAATGTTTATATATTACACTTCGAGCAATATAATAATTGAAGACAAAAGCAGGCAAACTCATTTATTCGTGTCGTATCGGAATACGAAATCCATTTCAGCAACATCAGAAATCACTGCGATTTCACACTTAATTTATTTTACCTAAAACATAATGTATTTTATGAATGATTCTAGAATTACACTGGTTATAGTAATAAAATATGTATGTATTTGTAAAAACGTGTGTTTCGAAAATTGAATCTGCAGATAAAAAAAAAAAGAATGTGTAATTATTCTGCAGATAAAAAAAAATTGTTAGTACCGCCAATAACTTATCTCTGCACGATTCATGGTTTACTGGTAGAAAATGCCATTAAGTGTTAAGTCCGCCATATGTACTTTTTATTTATTTTTATTTATTTATTTATTAAAACTTTAATGCACAAATACATAAATAAAGGTACACATGGCGGACTTAACACCTTGAGGCATTTTCTCCCAGTCAACCATTGGGCAAACAGAGATTCATGTTGGCGGTGCATTAAGAAATTGAAATCTAAAAAAAATAAAATAATAAGAAGATCACTTTAATATGATTAAATATAAATACATATGCGAATATACTTATAAACTAGAATACATAATATGAATAAATAATTATACATATATAAATATAACTACATACACGTACGTACCTACATACATACATACAAATACACATACAATTATAAATTTATACAAATCAACTTTTATACTTTTTACCTGTGTATATACGTGCATTTTAAAGTTATTTAAATTTAAAATAAAAATAAATTAAATACGTGCTATCACGCGGGAAATAGTGATCACAGAAATTATTATGAATAATTTTATGGCAAATAAAGGTATTTACCTCTCTCGACGTTTCGACTAGGTTGCACTAGCCGTGGTCACGAGCTGACTGGAGTAACAGCGATGTCAATGTAGATAGGTGACAGCAGTTTTTTCGTCTTTTCGACTAGGTTGCACTAGCCGTGGTCCAGAGCTGACTGGAGCAACAGCGATGTCAATGTAGATAGGTGACAGCAGTTTTTTCGTCTTTTCGACTAGGTTGCACTAGCCGTGGTCACGAGCTGACTGGAGCAACAGCGATGTCAATGTGGATAGGTGACAGCAGTTTTTTCATCTCCCGTCACTAGATTGTTCAACGAAAGTTCGCGACACACAGCACTCATGGTATCCGTACACTTATCGACTGTTGATGCTACTGAACTTTGCTTCAATTTATTTATGACTGGATTCCACGCAGATGATAATTTTAAACAATCCTCTCTGTTGAAATTTGTGTGTTGCTCTTTTAAATATTGATTTAATTATATTTACAATTACAAATAGAAATAGAAATAATCTTTATTCGAATAAACTTAATATAAGCACTTTTGAATAGTCAAGTTTTTTTTATTCAACCGCTTATTCGAAATGCAGATTCATCACAAGAAGAATGAGCAAGAAACTTGTGTGTTATTCTTTTAAATAAATATTGATTTACTTATATTTAATTAACAACAAGGATTAGGCATGGGACAATCAACATAGAAACCGCTACGCACTTAATCTCTGTTCAATCAGATAACATTGTCAGCGCTATGAATTTTAGGTTAGATGTTAAAACAAATAAACAGCATTCTAACATTATTTTTTAATTCCAGTTTCACCAATGATCTGGGTGCCGAATCAGTTAGTGGGCGCACCAGCCGGGACGGATGTTACAGTGGACTGTCACACCGAGGCACACCCACGTGCGATCTCGTATTGGGTTTACGACAATGTGATGGTCCTACCGACTAGGAAATATGCTATTAACACTGAAGAGAATTCTTACAGGTGAGACATTGCTATTGGCTATTGACTTTACCGTTTAAGTAATCGTTCTCACTGAAACTGAAGAGGTAATAGGCAGAGCGCATAGCTCGTAGGACAGATGGCCGCTGGGGCAATAAAGTTTTCGAGTGGCGACCGCGGCGTGGGAAAGCCTCCAGCAAGGTGGACTGACGATCTGGTCAAGATCGCTGGAAGGCGATGGATGTGAGCAGCGCAGGACCGATCGTCGTGGAGATCTTTAGGAAAGGCCTTTGTTCAGCAGTGGACTTCTTCCGGGCTGAAATGATGTGACAATAGTGGTTCATACACGAGTTATACACAGCCACCTACATAAATAATACATAAGATATTCAGTTGTGTTTCTTACCAGTTCTTCTCAATTGGATCTATGTACTGAACTGGATCGTAGAGGAAAAAAAAATTAATATAAAAAACTTGACGTTCATAAGCGGCTAACATGTCCTACATGAATTTTGGTTTGTTATAAAGAAAACACGTCAATAACCTTTCGTTTTTTTTCGTAGTTCCAATTATATATAACTTTTTCCTGCGACTTCCCGTCATAGAATACTTATGTCTAAAAAAAGCAGATTTTTTTAGACATAAGTATTCTATGACGGGCGTCAATGAAATACATTATATCTTCATGTACTTACATAATTAAGTTAACATGACAATAAGAAGTCGACGCAGTATTGTACAACAAACATACAACATACAATACTAAGTTGCTGGGGGAAAGGGATTGTTAGTAATGTGGATTGATAACCCCATTGCTAGCAATGTACCATGTCAGGTCGACCTCCACGCGGTGCCCCCTGGAAAGCATCGTGTTGAATTCTTGGTGAATTTGTCACGATGGGCTAACTGACCTGACCTCATGCTCATCATATCATCCTCCACTGGTGCCCCGCCAGCGTAAACCGTTAGCGCAGGCGGGTGCACCATTCCATTATCATCCATAAAAAAAAATACTAAGTTGCTATCTTTTATTTTCTCTACAAAATGTAATGAAAATATAAATGTTAGGTAAAATAACATACATGTAACAATCTTTGTAATGATATTCACCAAATTCCTGGAAGAATAAAAAATATGACTATTCAAAAGTGTTTGTATTGAGTTTATTCGAATAAAAATTATTTCTACTTCATATTCAATATATGTTGCTATGTTTCTATGTCATATAATATGCCATATCGTAATATTATTACATACAGAATTAGATTATCAAACTCTATCCATATCTCAATACATTTAATTACTTCGCTTCTCAATACATTTATGAAAATATCATGTATGCCAGGAAGAATATAGACAGTTTCAAAAGAGTTAGTGATTACACTAATAAAAGCTTACGTAACAATAACAAACTGATTTTACCTAAATGTCGTTTAACTAAAGTTAGTAATTCGTTTTATGGCAATTGCGTAAGGTTTTACAATAAAATACCAGAGTCTGTTTTAAATCTGCCTGAAAAAAGATTTTAATGTCAAATAAAACAGTTCCTTTGCAAAAAAGCTTACTATAAAATTGAAGTATTTATAAATAACTAGCTGTACCCGCGATTTCGTCCGCGTAAAATAGTGAACTTGACTAAATAATGAAAAAAATATTTAATGGTCTAACCCAATAAAAGCCTAATGAAAAAGTTTCATCATTTCATCTTCAAAAATGATACTTCCATACATAACTAACATACATAACTATTTCAACCTCTTATAACTTCTTTTCTTAATATATATTTAATAAATAGGCTAAAAATTAAACTTCAAGCTTCTAGCTTTAAAAACGACAATATTTGCATGTAAACATTTGACTCTCTTTTAAATTCCTTACAACCCATTTTTCTTTATTTATATTTAATCAACAGCCTAAAAATCAGTTTCAGGCTTTGAAAATGGCGATATATCTATACAACCTTGCACCTTTCAATCCCCTTACAACCCTTTTCCACATTAAAAAATACCCTATATCCATTCTCAGGGTCTTCTAGATTATATGTTCTAAATTTCATTTAAATCGGTTCAGTAGTTTTGGCATGTAAGTGAGATCGAGAGTTATAATATTAGTGAGGTATTTAATAAATAAACCCAAAAAAGCCAATGAAAACAGTTTCATCATTCTAGCTTAAAAAGTCATGTTTTTACATAAAAATTTTGATCCTCTATTTTATTGTACCCCCTTAAGGGTAAAATTATTACAAACTATGAATCATCATCTCATCATCTTATATTTTAGGTTGGTCAATCATCACCAACCTAAAATATAAGTTTCAAGCTTCTAGCTTTAAAAATGACGATTCTTACGTACAACCGTGTTTTTTTAACGTCAGGAAAAAATCTTCATAGAGGCCCACCGGCTTAGGAGCCAAATGGGGACTGCCGGATTCATATCGGCCAAAAACCTGACGACTATTCCTCCTCGAACATGTCGCCGTAGCTATAGGATCGCATATGCATTCTCCAAGACTACCGGCACGGTTCCCATTGAAGGGACCTTTCATCTAGGCGTGCAGGGAATAGCCTCTGCACGCCACCGTAATGCCTCCCTTGTGAGCTTCGGATCGCCCTAACAATCCTCCACCCTAGGGTCAAATATGGATTCGATGGCCACGCTGGTAGACTCAGGTGTCCATCGAATCCTCCCCTCCCGCCGGTGACCTGCGCTGCGGCCGCGGCCCTGGCCTTGGCAAGCGACACAATTTTGTGCTACCGACTCCATGGTCCGCGCAGTACCAGCAACGTGGCGATGGCGCGACACATCTCGCGGTCTTGTGGCCGCCCTGACCACAGCGATAGCACCTATCGCTGCAGTCTTCCCCTGCAGTGCACCGTTGGCCTACGTGCCCCGTGAGCAAGCACCTTACCTTAATCCGACCCGCCTGGATCAGGGTTTAGGCTGCAACTGGGCATCGCACCCAGTTTGAGCCCACGCCGGAGGGAGTGCACCGGACCTCGCCCGCCTGTATGCTTGTATCCGCGCATCCTCCCACTCGCGGCAACGACGTTCTCAGATGTTACCGAGTCGTCCATGTCACATAGTCTCAGCTCTGCCGATTTCTCCGGCTTGGTGACCCGGACTTTTTCTACTGGCAAGATCACTAACCTTGCGGCTAGTGAGTTCGTTTTGTCGCCGGTATCGGCGCCTGGCACTTCTAGGATGCGACATCCAGTCACACCCAGCCGGAACCGTAGGTCGGACAACCTCGTATGCATGGCATGTACCCTTTCAACCCCTTATAACCCTTCTATCGCATCCAAAAGTATCCTATGTGCTTTCTCAAGATCTAGACTAATTGTGTACCAAATTTCACTTAAATCTGTTTAGTAGTTTTGGCGTGTAAGTGAGACTGACAGACAGACAGAATTACTTTTACAGTTATAATATTAGTAAGGTATTTAATAAACTAACTAAATTCAATAAAAAACTTTCATAGATCTGGCTCCAATAATGGCAAATTTACCTAAAATCTTTCGTCCCCTATTTTATTTTACCCCCTTAAGGGTAATTTTTTACAAATTTTGAATGTCATATTCATTTATATTTAATCAACAGCCTCAAAAATAGGTTTCAAGCTTCTGGCTTCCAAAAAGACGAATTTAGATAAAAACTTTCATCCCCTATTTTATTTAACATCTTAAGGCTAACATTTTTATAAACTTTGATAGCCTATTTATTTATATTTAATCAACAGCCTCAAAAATAAGTTTCAAGCTTCTAGCTTCAAAAATGACGAATTTACATTAAAACTTTCATCCCCTATTTTATTTTACTCCCTTAAGGGTAACATTTTTACAAAATTTCATGGCTTATTTATTTATAGTCAATCAACAGCCTCAAAAATCAGTTTCAAGCTTCTAGCTTCAAAAATGACGAATTTACATAAAAACTTTCATCCCCTATTTTATTTTACCCCCTTAAGGCTAACATTTTTACAAAATTTCCAGGCTTATTTATTTATAGTCAATCAACAGCCTCAAAAATCAGTTTCTAGCTTCAAAAATGACAAATTTACATAAAAACTTTCATCCCCTATTTTATTTTACCCCTTAATGGTAAGATTTTTACAAACTTAGTATGTTATATTTATTTATATTTAATCAACAGCCTCAAAAATAAGTTTCAATCTTCTAGCTTCAATAATAACGAATTTATATAAAAAAAATATCCCCTAATTTATTTAACCCCCTTAAGGGTAAAATTTTTAAAAACTTTGTATGTCATATTTATTTATATTTAATTAGCAGCCTCAAAAATAAGTTTCAAGCTTCTACCTTCAAAAATGACGATTCTTCCATACAATCTTTCATCCCCAATTTCAACCCCTTACAACCCTCTTTTCGCATTAAAAAGTAGCCTATGTCCTTTCTCAGGGTCTAGACTATCTGTGTACCAAATTTCATTTAAATCGGTTCAGTAGTTTTGGCGTGAAAGCGAGACAGACAGACAGAGTTACTTTCGCATTTATAATATTAGTAAGGATAAGGATAAGGATAGTAAGGATAAGGATAAGGATAATATTCTTTTTGTAGAAAATATCTAACTTAAAATTCATAGCGCTGACAATATTATCTGATTACACTAATAATGAGTGCGTAGCGATTTCTGTGTTGATTATCGCATGCCTCTTACTTGTTATATTGTAATTATTTATATAAAAAAACATATATTCAAAAGAGCAACACACAAGTTTCTAGCTCATTCTTCTTGTGATGAATCTGCATTCCGAATGAGTGGTAGAATCAAAATGTGATTATTCAAAAGTGCTTGTAATAAGTTCATTTGAATAAAGATTAATTCTATATCTATCAGTATATAGGTAGTGATACGTATATATACGGTATATAATATATCTGTCGTAACGTAATATTTTGCAATTGTTATAACATCTCAAGGCTCTCAAACAAACATTAACTTCTCCGAAAAGTTTGTTTGGAATCAACAATTCGTAACTAATACAACATTTGATAATTCTGGGTATGTGTACCCGAGGCTGAATAACAGTATATCAACATTTGTACATATATAACCAGCATTTACATATATATGTAATCATTACATAGTATAAATTAAAGTCGCTGTCGCTGTAGCTGTCTGTCACTATATATGCTTAAATCTTTAAAACTACGCAACAGATTCTGAAGCGGTTATTTTTAATAGATAGAGTGATTCAAGAGGAAAGGTTATATATATAATACATGTTCACCCGTGCGAAGCCGGGGCGAGTAAATAAATAAATAAATAAATATCACTTAATGTAGATGATTTTTTAAAAATCTGGTATAATTTAGAATATGAATGAATTGTTGTACATTTTGTTTCAGAGCACACATGAAGCTCACCGTGAGAAACCTGCAAACTGGCGACTTTGGTAACTATAGGTGCATCTCTAAAAACTCCCTCGGGGAAACAGAGGGATCTATAAGACTTTATGGTAAATAAATTACAAAGTTTATTATTTTAATTTGCAATTTTTACTTATGAAATTATATCGGACAATATAATATCAAATGAGGTACGAAGGTACTACTGTAACTAGTTAAAAGTATTTTTTGTTTTTATATTACGTAGGTGGCAATTATACTAATTATACTAATAATAATAAAAATAAAAATAATTACAGGTTGTATTGGGACAGGACTATAATAACAGACAAAACTGTACATCACAATAGACCAGATATAACGCTACATGATAAGAAAAATAAAATAGTTTACCTTATAGACATTGCAATACCAAATACACATAATCTTCTATCAACACATACAGAAAAAATTACTAAGCTTACTGATCTAGCAATAGAACTAAAAATACAATGGCAGGTAGAAACAGTGAAACCTCTCCCAATTATTATCTCGTCCACAGATGTCATCCCAACATCCCTACACACTAGCCTCAAGATATTACAACTTCACCCACTTACTTTCATCCTTCTCCAAAAAGCTGTAATATTAAACACTTGTAAATAAGTAAATTTATGTCTTTCACTTAAAAATTATCCATCCTCATCATTCATCATTTATACTGTCATTGTTTGGTGATTTTTACCCGCAATGATCAGTCTATTACCCCATCAATGGGTGATATATAATAAAAATAAAAATAAAACAGCAAAAACTGAGAGAAAATAAAAAAAATAAAATAATAAAATATGAGAAAATGCAACAATAGCGAAAATAATAATAATAACTCAACATAATAATAATAAATGAAGTACGAAGGAAACTACTGTAACTAGTTAAAAAGTATTTTTTTTATACCACTTAAGTGGCAAACAATCATACGCCCCATCTGATGTTAAACGGTTACTGTAGCCTATAGACAACTAAAATCGGGGTGTCACGTGCGCGTTGCCGACCCTTAAGAAACATTAATATACTCTTCTTGAAAAAACATTCAGTTAGAAAAATCATTCGTTTGTCTCTAATATGATAATAATATTAACATAACATAATAATTAATGAAGTGTGCAAGGAACTACTGTAACTAGTTAAATTTAATATGTTCTCTAAGTAGTAGTGTAATTGTTACACTATCTCGTATATACAATATATATTGATTATAATTAGACTTGTCATAAGTGTCTGTTACGGACCTACATGAATAAATATTTTTTTTTTTTGAAAAAAAGTAATTTTTATACTACTTAACTGGGAAACAAGCATACGCCCCATCTGATGATAAACGGTTACAGTAGCATATGGACGCTTGAAGCACCAGGGGTGTTACGTGCGCGTTATTTACCCTTAAGAAAACTGAATATACTCTTCTTGAAAAAAATATTAGTTCGATTTTTTTTTAAGGATATTTAAATTTCGAATAACCAGGCACAAGACCATAGCTCAATCTCGATTTTTTTTAATACTTTTATTGTTTTATTAGGTATGTAATTTTGAATAACTATTATAGAATAGAATAGAATAGAATAGAAAATCATTTATTCAAATAAACTTAATTTAAGCACTTTTGAATAGTCATAACAATTTGTTTTTTATCTACCACCATATATACAAGACCACAGGTCTTACTCGATTTTTTATTAATATTTTTATTGTTTTGAAAGTATTTAAATTTTGAATAACCAGGCACAAGACCACAGCTCTTTCTATATATTTTTTTAATAATTTTTTATTATAGAAGGTATCTAAATTTCGAATAACTAGGGACAAGACCACAGCTCTTTCTAGAATTTTTTTTAATACTTTTTTTATATTAGTAAGGTATTTAAATTTCGAATAACTAGGGACAAGACCACAGCTCTTTCTAGAATTTTTTTTAATACTTTTTTTATATTAGTAAGGTATTTAAATTTCGAATAACTAGGGACAAGACCACAGCTCTTTCTAGAATTTTTTTTAAATACTTTTTTTATATTAGTAAGGTATTTAAATTTCGAATAACTAGGGACAAGACCACAGCTCTTTCTAGAATTTTTTTTAATACTTTTTTTATATTAGTAAGGTATTTAAATTTCGAATAACTAGGGACAAGACCACAGCTCTTTCTAGAATTTTTTTTAATACTTTTTTTATATTAGTAAGGTATTTAAATTTCGAATAACTAGGGACAAGACCACAGCTCTTTCTAGAATTTTTTTTAATACTTTTTTTTTATATTAGTAAGGTATTTAAATTTCGAATAACTAGGGACAAGACCACAGCTCTTTCTAGAATTTTTTTTAATACTTTTTTTATATTAGTAAGGTATTTAAATTTCGAATAACTAGGGACAAGACCACAGCTCTTTCTAGAATTTTTTTAAATACTTTTTTTATATTAGTAAGGTATTTAAATTTCGAATAACTAGGGACAAGACCACAGCTCTTTCTAGAATTTTTTAAATACTTTTTTTATATTAGTAAGGTATTTAAATTTCGAATAACTAGGGACAAGACCACAGCTCTTTCTAGAATTTTTTTTAATACTTTTTTTATATTAGTAAGGTATTTAAATTTCGAATAACTAGGGACAAGACCACAGCTCTTTCTAGAATTTTTTTTTAATACTTTTTTTATATTAGTAAGGTATTTAAATTTCGAATAACTAGGGACAAGACCACAGCTCTTTCTAGAATTTTTTTTAATACTTTTTTTATATTAGTAAGGTATTTAAATTTCGAATAACTAGGGACAAGACCACAGCTCTTTCTAGAATTTTTTTTAATACTTTTTTTATATTAGTAAGGTATTTAAATTTCGAATAACTAGATACAAGACCACAGCTCTTTCTAGATTTTTTATTAATACTTTTATATTTTTAGAAGGTATTTAAATTTCGAATAACTAGATACAAGACCACAGCTCTTTCTAGAATTTTTTTTAATACTTTTTTTATATTAGTAAGGTATTTAAATTTCGAATAACTAGGGACAAGACCACAGCTGTATCTCGATTTTCTTCTTGATGCTTTTATTGTTTTAGAAAGTTTTTAAATTTCGAATAACTAGGCATAAGACCACAGTTCTATCTCGATTTTTTTTTATTTTTGTATTGTATTAGAAGGTAAGCATATTAATTGATATTTCTAATTGTACGTTCAGAAATCCCAATGCCGTCTACATCACCAAAGGCCACGGAAATGAAGAGTAACGCTAATAAAGAAAGTAAGTGAATTCAGTTTTAGTACTATTTCTTTTTTTTTTTAATTGTAAGTTATAAAACTTATCACCAATTGAGTTTATTTTTTTTTAAGTTAGTAAATTTAATTTTGATACTATTTCTTTTTTTTATCACCAATTACGTTTTTTTTTTAATTTTAGGAACATCAACGTTATAATTTTACATGTTACAAGTAATATTGAATTGTCGTCACTAATAGTAATAGTAAATAAATTTTGTTTTTGATCCAAATATAAAGTTATATCGAAGTTATATACAAAATAGTTGGGCCCGGGGTTTCACTCGCATGAAATTTATAGCCTATTGTTCTGAAGTATAAGCTATATTACTGCAAACTTTCGTCAAAATCCGTTCAGTAGTTTCATCAACAACCGTTCCCTGCTGATATTAATAGATTTTTTAACTTTAACTATTTGTAAATACAAATTTTACCAGCGTGTTATTCTGATGAATAAGCTATATGATGATTCATTAAAATCCTTCCAGTAGTTTTTGCATGAAAGAGTAACAAACATCCATTTATACGTCCATACTCACAAACTTTTGCATTTATAATATTTGTGAGATGGACAATTGATGAATGAATTAAATAATTGGTTACGCCACAAAAGTTTTTATAATTTAAACGAATTTTTAAGTACGTAATAATGTGTTTATAATTGACGAAAAACGTAATAATAATAATCTCAGGACAATTCACACAGCGCCATTTAGACCCAAGTTAAGCTAGCTAAAGCTTGTGTTATCGTTACTAGATAAGTGATACAAATGGATAGATTTTTTCGTAAATAATTTATATTTAAATGAAATTATAATTTTTGTCGCCATAATAAAAAAAAATTAACACAAAAACTAAATTGACTCTTATAATATATACCTATTATACATAGGACATACACAGACCAATACAAACAATCATACTCATGAATACAATGTTTGACCCGTGCGAGGAATCGAACCCGTGACCATTGCACGGAAGGCGGTGTGCTAAACCACTAGACCATCGAAACCGTCAAGCTTTTAATATATATTTTTTTTATTTCAAAATAGCTACTCGCCCAAGCTTCGCACGGGTGTACATGAATTATATATATAAACCGTCCTCTTGAATCACTCAATCGATTAAAAAAACCTCTTCAAAATCCGTTGCATAGTTTTAAAGATTTAAGCATACATAGAGACGGACAGACAGCGACAGCGACTTTGTTTCGTACTATGTAATCATTTTCCTGCGTGGCATTATAATAGATAAAATAATATTATAAGATATATATAACCTTATATTTCACAATCGCAACTTATTTCGATTACCTATGTTTATCCTAAAATAAATTTTATTTGATTTGATATATGTGAACCGGCGTCTATGCCCACACTTTCTATTCTGTTTGAACTGAAAACACCCACTTCGATTCCAGTTAAATTCCATCTATATATAGTCATCCGATAAAGTTATGCGATTAGCATCTGTTTAATATTATATTATACTAGCTTTTGCCCGCGGCTTCGCTCGCGTTAATTTATCCCCTTAGGGGTGGAATTACCAAAATCCTTTCTTAGGGGATGCCCACATTATAGTAGCTTGATGCATGCAAAGTCTCAGCCCGGTCGGTTTAAAATTGACAAACTTTCATCCCCTTGGGGGTAGAATTAATCAAAATCCTTTCTTAGCGGATGTCTACGTCATAACATCTACCTGCATGCCAAATTTCAGCCCGATCCGTCCAGTGGTTTAGGCTGTGCGTTGATAGATCACTATGTCAGTCACCTTTGAGTTATATATATTTATATAGACATATGAAATCACTAAAATTATTTTTAATATTACAAGTATATAGTATTCAAATCCAATAAGATTTTTTACAAAAATGTGGCCCACCACACCACATGTCTGGACATTTTGTTGAGCAGGACTATTCAAGATACTCAACCAAGTTCAACCACTCGACCACCAGCTTCATAAAATTACCATATGATAGTTATGGTATTCAAATAAATACAAAAACTGCTATTCAAATTCAAATTTAAAATATCTCTATTCATGTAGGTCTATTACAGATTCTTATGATATGTCAAATATACCGTCAGTTCAGAATGATGTCGAGATGAGAAGCACTGACAAGAAACTCAGCTCGTATTCTTTTCAAATAATCAATTTGAATTTGAATCAAGTTAAAAAGTAATAACTTGGGGACTGAATAATGAATACTGAAATAATAATAAAATCAAAATCGAAATAATACAAAAAAATAATATATAGTATAAAACAAAGTCGTCCCCGCTGTCTGTTCAGTTATATCTTTTAAACTACGCAACGGATTTTAATGCAGTTTTTAGCAATAGATAGAGTGATTCAAGAGGAAGGTTTATATTTATAATACATGTATATTCATGAGGACCCGGGGCGGGTAGTTAGTATTATATAAAAACTTATCGCGTGATTTACCTGCATAAATCTTAGTCAATTATAAACGCTAAAGTTCGTGAGTATGGATGGATGTTTGTTATTCTTTCATGCAAAAACTACTAAACGGATTTTGATTAAAGTTTACAGTATATAATATAGCTTATACATCAGAATAACATATAGGCTATAAATTTCATGCGAGTAAAATCGCGGGCACAGCTTGTAATTTATATCTAAGATTAATTAATAAATTGAACGACTTATAGGTCACACTTTCTGTGGCATCAAAGCTGCTAGATGTATGGACTGATTCTGATACGTGGTTTTATTTGAAGACTGACATGATCATGTCAGTTATATCATATGGTTATTTATAATTAACTAATTAGAGTTGATTTTAACTCGAGGGTTATTTCCAATTTAAAATTCTATGTACTATACCTGTTTTATTAAAAATATTTATTTAAAAAGTTTTCCAATCGACTATACCTACTATTTGCGCAAATTCTTCGCGGTCGTTTGCATACGAGTGAATTCACATTTGCAGAAAATAAAACTTCCAAACACGAACTTCTTGTGCCGACTTAGGTCTTGAACTGCAAGTTAGTTCATCTTTGAAATGTTCTTTGCGAAGTATACACGGTGCCAACTTTTATTTAGAAACTGTTATGTGAGCTACATACCGTATTAACACCCTCTCTTTTTTTTATATTCTACTATGGTGGCAAACAGGCCTATAGCCCGTCTGATGGTAAATGGTTTCCGTAGCCTATGGACGCCTGCAGCACCGGATGTGTCACGTGCGCGTTGCCAACCCTTAAGAAACCTTAATATACCCTTCTTGAAAAACCCCATACTGTAGTATCGTAAGAAAACCTCGACAGGAAGTTCATTCCACAACCTAAGTGTACGCGAGAGGAAGCTCCTCTGAAACCGCACTGTCCGAGACCACTTAGGTTCCGGCGTGTGGGGATAAATTCCCTGTCGATGGCGAGCGGTGCGACGGTAAAAGGTGGCCGTAGGCATCATGTCAAACTCTTCTGTGTCTATAATATTATACTATGACAAGAAATGAAACCACTTGGGAATGAATCCCTGTCGATGGCGAGCAGTGCGACGGTAAAAGGTGGCCGTAGGCATCATGTCGAACTCTTCTGTGTCTATAATATTATATCATGATCACAAGAAATGCCTTTACACGTACGCTGTTTTATGCGCGAATCTGCTTTCACGCAGAAAAGTGTCCATATAAATGTAGAGAGAGAAAACAAGATAAAGAGAGAGAGAGTGCACGCCGTCAGCTTGCGGATTCTCGCCAAAATAAAAGCTGTGCTGAAATACAAACATACAAACTTTCAACCCCTATTTCATCCCCTTGGGAGTAAAATTAATCAAAATCCTTTCTTAAGGGATGCCTACGTCATAGTAGCTTTATGTATGCAAAGTCTCAATCCGATCGGTTTAAAATTGACAAAGTTTCATACAAACTTTCATCCCACTATTTTATCCCCTTGGTGGTAGACTTAATCAAAATCCTTTCTTAGCGGATGCCTACGTCATAACATCTACCTGCATGCCAAATTTCAGCCTGATCCGTCCAGTGGTTTGGGCTGTGCGTTGATAGATCACTATGTCAGTCACCTTTGAGTTATATATATCTAGAATCTATCTACAAACATGAACATAAAAATATAGTCTGTGCTAAAAGCCGCAAAAATGGCTATATGAATTCAACTATATCATTATTATAAAAAAAAATACGGAACATCTTGAAATTTAGGGGTTGCAACCCAATACTTGACCTGTATTTATGTACTAAAAGGAATGAAACGGACCGCGTTTTCTACGGATCCCATGGGGTTCCCAAAAACCTTTACCTACTGGATAAGTATGTTATATGAGGAAATTCTGTTCAAGTTTCTAAGCCTCACGTTAGAGGGATTCTATCTATCTATCTATCTAGCGGTTTAGCATACCGCCTTACTTCCGATGGTCGCGGGTTCGATTCCTCGCACGCCACAAACATTTGTATTCATGAGAATGTTTGTATCGGTCTGGGTATTTTCTATGTATAATATGTATGTATTTACTAAAAAAAAACATATCTATGTATTTGTATTAGTTGTCTAGTACCCTAAACTCAAGCATTAGGTAGCTTAATTTTGGTCTAGATGGCACTATGTGAATTGTCCTGAGATTATTTATTATTTATTTACAGTGAAAGGTACTTCGTCTTTATAGACAAAAAAACAGATAATGAAGTAGTCACAACAAAGGTGTTTCGAATAATTTTCACTGATCTTTGACAGTTTAGACCCGTCATTTTAATTTTCTATTGTCATATAGCTTTCAGTACTCCCAGAATTAATTATAAATTTGATAAACTTATTATTATAAACCTATTAATATGATTTAGATTTTTTTATTGGGTTGTGTGGGATATTTACAGGTGCTTGGACCTGTAGCACTGCGACCTACATAGATCTATTGTGCTAGCCCTTTTTCAAAGTTCGTTACCTAGTCAGGGACAAAAATTAAAAGATATTCATTCATAGGATCGATAGTGTGATGATTTAG